GGAATTTGGCTAATAGTGATCTGAGAGTCCACTGGGTAGCTTTTTGTTTAATGCCAAAGGATTGTCATGAGTCAATTTGAAAAGAACAGCTTTAGTTTTGCTATTATTTGAAGAGCAATGCTAGTTACCTGCATCATTCTCAGTAAAATGTTGAAATATACCATTTTCCCACAACATTTCATCTGCTTTATGTGCAAATGCATAAAAAATAAAACATTTGGCCAAATGCTAGCTAGCTACTTTAGTAAAGATTGTAATTGTTATTTCACTGAAAATACATTTTTTATGATTATTTCTGATTATTATCGGTCACTCTGAGTTTTTCATATTGGCTGAACATAAAAATAGTCTACACCTATCTCCTGCATTAGCTTCTGATAGAAAATATACAGTGAAACTCTAGGGATATAAAAGCCTGACTGATCAATGCCACACTGTCACTTAGCAATCATGGACTCGCCCATCTTGGCTCACAACGTGGTAGCCTGTTGTTGGTTTAGCGTACAGGAAACAGCAGAGAACGTTTCGAGCAGAAGAAGCTAACTATTAGCACTGGCTACACCACCACACAACAGAACTCCTCCTGGCTTGTGTCATTTGTGGAGATAAAACATCAACGTAGCAGAGCAAACAGAGTCAGGCGTAGCGCTGTGTTGCTGTTAGCCAATCAGAGGCGGGATGTCTATAATATAAGAAATGAAAGGTCACAAAAGTGAGGCAGCCCCTTCATGGTTAAGGGTCAAGGTGGTGACCTTTCACACGTAAGATTTAAGAAGAACATTAAAGCTACAAGAAAAGACAGCTATGTCACGAATTACATTAGAAATCAGACGACTTTTAAAGTTTAAAAATGTAAAATTTGAAAGTAGAAAAGCTACAACTTCCCATTTTAAATTCAAATATCTGTAAATTTAGAGCGAACAAGGAACAATGTGGTGTTAATGTTGAGTTGAAACTCACAGCTGTCAGCTGCTCTTCTTAAACTAAAGACTGACATTTCCTGATTTAGTTTCAGCACTGAGATAAACCAAAAACACGAGCCCTTTTCACTTTTGACTCACTCCCATTTCCTCCTAAGACCACTGGCTTTTATTTTTAGCTCACTGTGCAGTCATCTGTGTCTACAAGAGTATTTCATTCATTTGATGCTGCAATAAGGACGAGGAACGGTGAGTATTTAAGCCTGTTTTACAGTTTTTCCATTTACAATCTATACATAATTACAATATTTGCCTCAATCTAACCGCACGCCTTCAGCTCCTCTTGTCTGACTCAGATTGTTCTAGCCTTATCTGTCTGGAAAAGACGCTTCTTGTGCATGATTGTTGCTCGGGTCCTGTAAGGTCCTAACTTCATCTCCTCACTTCCTCCCCGCAAAGATGAACTTCCTCTTTCAGCGATGGCTCTGCTGTGTTGGTAAGAACGGTGATTCTGCTCGGCTTGTGTATGAATGTGTTTCTGCTTGTTGCACTATCAGATTTCTGTTGCTAGACTGGACAATTCCAGGAAAGAGACAGTGCTTTACAGTTTCTGAGACACAAAGACTGTTTTAAACTCTTTTTGTCTGTGCTGCAGATTGCTGCAAAAAAGGAAATGGAACATTAAGAATGAAGCAGGAAGTTACAGCACTAATATTATCCCAACACACAGATATAGATGAGAACAAAAAAAACCAGAGTTTAGACTAAACCACAAATGCTTTTTGTGGGTCGTGATGGAAACATACATGCTATAAATGTTTGAATAAAATAAAAAAAGTCTGTCACAGTGAGAGAACTCTGTTCACGCAGACAGAAATATCAGCAGAAGGAGACAAGATAGGGGAGAGAAAGGTCAGCGTTCCATCCTCAGGAAACAATGAATCCAAACGTAGGAAACAAACTGCCCGGCTGAGTGATGGTTTTGTGTAAAAACCTTTCAACTGCCTCAGTCTTCATCTCTGACACAACCAGCTGAGTCTGTGACATTCTATCGGCTGGGCTTCATTCACTCTTATGAAAATATAAACCCAACAAAGACAGTTTAAACTATGAAAAGGTTTCACTCACTAACTCAAACATCCAGAATGAAACATCTTCCTCTAAAGGTCTTGTTCACTGAGAAACAGAGTTCTTGTTCTCTTTGGGATATAATCACTAACTCTGAGCGGCTTATGAACGTTTTCTTCAACCCCAATCACTTGCATTAGCCGCAGAAAGGAAACAGACGCAGAAATGACCAACTCAGAAAAATCAAGTCTCTTTGACTTCAGTATTCATGCCCTCGCCAACCTTGGCTTGTAATCTGTTGTTGATTTTGTAGCCAGGAGAGAGCACGTATCAGCTAGTACATGCTAACAGTTAGCATTAGCAACTCCATGCAAGTGGTGCTCGCTGCAGAACCACAAAGGCGGAGCTGCACCAGAAGGTCGAGCTGCACCAGAGTCAGCCCCGCCCATTCCAGAATCAGCCCCGCCCATTCCATCAGAGTCAGTCCAATTCCTTCCAGTTGTCAGACTTGATAGCATTCTGGAATCAAAGAGGGTGTTATAGCTAAAAAATGCAAGATTGAGGACGGAGTTGAGAAGTTAATTGAACAGTTTTTGTAAAGGTTCCATATAATTAAAAATCTAACTTTTGGAACTTTTAATCATGTTATATTGTCATTTCCTCATAAGAAACACGCCAAAGCCATTTTTAGCCTCATTCATGCATTTTCCTCCCATCTCAGCTTCAATTTGGTCTCCTCCCCCGAAGCGGGTCTGGTCTTGGTTCTCAAATCTGGATATTCTGTGAATTTTCTGACAAATTATTTCTGAAATGACTTCTGCTGAGACACCGCCAATAAACCATACATCCCCATCTCAGAGACACACTTGGAGGCACAATTAGATGTAACGCCGCATGAGTTATAACAGATGTGCTGGTGTAGTGGTTGTGGAGTCTGGTTGACATACAGATTTGCGCAGGTTCGCCTCCCATTAGTGTAAGTTTTAGGTAGTGTACAACCTCTTTTCTTCATTTCTAGCTACACTTGCCAGTACTATGTTTACAACAATTTACTGATATACCGTTTAACATATAATGATTAATGTGTTTTTTTATTTATTTATTCGTTTATTTAGCCAGTGTGAGTCCATTTGTGAGCAGAGTTTCAACTAAAATGCTGTTTAGGAACGATCAAATTCAAAGAACTTTTAGAGACATAATTATTTTGCTGAAAATAAACATTACAACTAAAATATAAACAAATTAAATGTTTCAGCTGGCTAAATAGATTGCTGACGACCCCACCGAGAATCGAACCAGCATCAGCTGAGGGGAAAGCAAAAGTTAATTCAGACAATCTCGCCACTAGACTACCAGAGCCCATTCGAAAGCCTGCTATGCTGTTATACACCACTTCTGTTAGACCGGCTGTAGGCAGATATTCGCTAAGAGAAAGCTTTTCATTTCGAGATATATTCAGTCTTTGCCATGTAGCAAGTTATATTTATCTTGTTTAATTGGAACATAGAACATAGCATTAACGACTGTAAACTAGTAACAGCCGTAATTCATGTGGGTCAGGTCAGTTTGCGATAAAGTTGAAAACAAAAACGGAAGTCAGTGGGTAAGCTGAGTTTGCGTGAATGGGCGGGGCTGACTCTGGTGCAGCTCCACCTTATGGTGCAGCTCCGCCTTTGTGGTTCTGCAGCGAGCACCCTCTCACTCCATGACATAGCAGAACATGTTCAGGCTTATGTTATCTGCAGGGATAACATCAAGATTGTATTTTTTTTTTTTTACCCAAGAAAGATGAGTGAATGAAGGCGGGGGAAGAGGCACATTTGTTAGCCAACTGGAGAGACATCTGTATTGCATGAATATTAACGCTGCAATAGCAAATTCAGATAATTAACTTTCCCACTTCCCTGGGCCCTCCACTCATTACACACTCGTGTATTTAGCAACAGAACACCACAGGTGTGAGAGGCTCTCTGCTCAACAATATCAGAGAAGGAGAAACAGCTGGCTGCTACCACTTCAACTTTAGAACAAACTACCAAGAGTCCCAAAAAGAAAAACACCATTTGAAGTCACAGACAACAAAAGATGTTTGAGGCTAAAAAACGGTGACTGGTGTTCAGCTCCATCTCGTTCCCTCTGTCATCGCGGGTTTACGGTTCCGGTGGAAAATACCCAGTGATGATACCCGAGGGTAGAGGTGAGAGTTCCATGACCGTGTTTGTGTTGAAAAGCAAGCTTGTTTGCAGATTTGCTGTTGCAGCTTTAATGAGTAAGACTCACAATCCTGTCGTTTTCTGCACCCCCCCACTCCTCTTACAAACGTCTACTCCCTGGAGTGCCCCACAGAAACAACTCACAACGCATTCATTCACACTAGTGGCCACAGAAAAAATACTGACCCTAATGAGTGAATAAGACGTGTAGTTTGTCTTCCAAGATTCATGATTGCAACTTTTGTGTTGGGTACAGATCACCTAGTGCTACTTCTCAAAGTTCGGAGGCTGCCTACAACCCCACCCGTTAGAGACATTTCTCTGTAAAGGAAAATCACCAGAATCATATAAAGTGGAGTCTAGCCCTGCAGCAGGTGCATTGTGGCCTTGTGATGGACTAGAAACCTGTCCTCGCCTCATGCTGAATGAGTGCTTGAGGCGGCCACACTCTGATGAGGACATGGCGGTATCTGAAAATGGATGGATGACTAGATGAATAGCAAATTGCTATCTTGTAGTTTTAATTTTAGCAAGTAACCAGCTAACCAGTTACAGGCTAGCAAGTCACTAGCTAATAGTGTTGATATTAGTCAGTTCCTAAACCTTATATAAGTGGGGAAATAGATCTTTTCACCAAATATTTTAAAGTCCCTACACTTGTCTAAACACACACTGCAAAATGCACTAAGACAAACAAGAACAACCAGAAAATGAGAGAAAAAGCAGCCAAAGTCCAGCCTAGCAGTAGCAAAAGATTTTGCTGTGCCTGTTGGTCTAGCCATGCTTCATTGTGGCCTCAACAGGTCTACTATTGGCTCAGCTAAGTTTAGGTGGGGCCAATCACGGCGCTCTGTTCGTAGAGAGACTTTTGGTGGGCTTAAGAATGGTAGAGCTGCACAAGTATACCTAGCTAAGGCATGAACTACAAAAGTGGCTCAGAAACGGTGCTCATTTAAAACAGTGTGGCATCAACTTTAGATGATTTAGACTTGGGCTTTTCCTGGAGAAATGAGCAGATAAATGTTCTTCTATGGTGGACATTGTCTGTTGCTCTGATTGGTCCTAGTTCTGTCCAATTGTGTGCAGAGATAGTTTAAAAGAAAACTCCACCCTACGACTGAGATCAGTCTATGGACTAGGGGTTGCATGACTTAATTTTTTTTTAAAGTCGACAGTCAAGTAATGAAAATCGAGTCGACTTTGACTAGTCGTTGATGATGTCATACACCTGAAGAAAAACTGCTACCTGGCTTCATATATCTTGACCTTATGAGTTACCTTTGAACTGCAGTTCTAAAAGATCTACCGACCGCAAAAAACAGCGGAGTGCACGCTGCGCGCCGGCCGCACCAGTGAGGTGCGTCACCGGAGGACAAAACAGGTGATGGGCTCCATTCCGCAGCAGCGAAACGCATCAGGCACAGATAAAAGGAAATGAGCCGACATGAACGATCGCGTGTGAAATTAGTTTTTGAGGTGGCAACACCTAATTTGATAATGTTACTGTGGCCGTGTTCAGGACGCAGATGTCTGGAGCGCGTCATCGATCAGAGCTTTGCATGAGCAAGCTGGTTAAGGTTAGGATGGGGGTGAGGGGAAGGTTAAATTGCTAGAGGGTAAAGGTCACAATTCGGTCAAATGTCCATTTTACAGCGGGCGTCATATACCGACGCTTTGGCACTCCGCGTGGCCTCCCAACGCGCAGGGGCTCGTCACCTGCTGTCTTTTCCGAGGACTGCATCTTGTCAGTCATTATCATGTGACAGCGACTAGTCGATGAAAGGCATAAAAAGTCACTACAGAGCAGTGAAGTCGATTAGTTGATACAACCCCTACTATGGACCAGGCTAGCCAAAGTCTAAAACACTCTTCAGTTCAAGACCATTGATAAAAATCACAAGAAAGCCATTGATGTAACATTTGCAGCTCTATCAGGAGGTGTAGCATCATGCCACAGTTACATTCAGTAGGAACATCTGTGGGCGGTTAAAGGTTAAAGGTGGTTAGATGTCCTTGTTTCTCCAGCAGCATCTTAATGTAACAAAAACATTCGTCTGACAAACCTTCCACCAGAAGATGCTTTATTAGATCCAGTTACAGAAGCTATAGAACATCATGAACAGGCTCCAAACTGGTGCCGAGTTTACAGAGTGAACACACGACACACCTACTTCCTCTGTGACCAAAACAAGACAACTCACATGAAGAACTTGACATGAACACAAAGTGAACAGGAACACAAGGGAGTGAACATTTGTGTGGTGTGAATCATAAAGAACAACTGCTGACTAAGAACCCAGCAGTTGTTCTAAACAAGTGTGAAAAATGAAAGTTGGGTTCTAAAACACACATTTAATTAGGAGTGTGTCTGTTAGAGGACACCCACACTCACCTTTTGGCCTTTTCTGGAATAGAAAAGCTGCTGCTGTTCTGTCTGAACACATTTATGACTCTTAGCATTGAAAAAGTGAAAGGGAAGAGAGAGAGAGAGAGAGGGAAGAAATGTGGGTAAAATGTCAGTTTTTGAGGTTCGTGTGTTTTCTGTTTCAGGACAAAAGCTTCGTTGTGGATCTTTTATTAGTGAATGCAGAAGTCCCGTTGCATCACAGGAGTCATTCGGCGTTGGGTTCTCCAGAATGTTCTAAAGTTCAACAAGGGGGCGGAATGGCGGGAGGCTGATTAGGCCCGAGTGTGTGTGTGTGTGTGTGTGTGTGTGTGTGTGTGTGTGTGTGTGTGTGAGTGTGAGGAAGAAGAGGAAACAAAGACTATAGCTAACTGACTCGCATCTGCGTATGGATCAGTCAGAAATGTGTGAACGCAAATGAACCTTTTGACCCACAAACACACGACATGCGAACTTGTTCATTTTTACAGGAGCACCTCCTCTCCCTCCCCCTACCCACGATGCCTTTCATCCCCCCGGCGAGCAGAGAGTCCCCCCCCTCCCATTTTCTCCTTTATTCTCTCATTTAAACATAGAAGCTGGCTGCATGTGTGTGTTCTCACACACGTTAGAACCCTGTCTTGTGTAGATGGCATCAGTCTAGCCTAAAACTAAGCGTGTTGGAGACGTGAGTTTGCTCCTGCTTGCAGGAACACGAGCTCTAACCTCCCTCTGATCTCCTGCTTCAGCCTCCTGTTGTCATTAACACAGGAAGCCCTCATTGTCCTGCTGTTTCCCTTCTTTTCATCTTTCGCACAGCTTTTTGTTTTTGTTTATGGATGCAATTTTCAACTCTGCTGTCTCAGCGGTCTACACAGGGCGGTAGACTGAAAGTTTCCTAATTTTATTAAACCATGCTCACCTTCGTAGGACCAAGAGAGCTTCCCAGAACAAAGTGTGACCACATTGTGCCTATGCACGGCTTTTATCTTTAATCAACCGAGTGTGTGCCCCCCCATCCCCCCACCCCCCTTCTGTTACGTCTCATGGCTCTTACAGTGTAGGTACAGAGTCACTGTCATCATCCTGCTCCTTATGCTGAGTCGGGGGCCGGCGGCTGCCGCTAAGGAAGCTCAGGGCAGGACGGGACGCCTTGGCAGGAGGAGGTCCCACGTAGGAAGAGGGCAGCGGAGCCACGGTGGCCCTGACCCTGGTGTTGGATCCCAGCTGGCGGGTTTGTGGCTGAATGGAGACAACACACACATTGTGTGTTTTAAGGCTTCTTCCAGAGTCGAGTTAAACATTAAATTTAATTCTGATAGTAACATTTTTTTGTCTTTGCCAAGAAAAACACTTGGACTTTTAGCGGAAATGAGACCTACGTATAGCACGAGGCAGGGGCATCAAAACTCTCTAAAGGCCAAAGTCATAAATGTAAAGTTAAAATAACTTCATGTAATAATTAATATAGTCTGACTTTTATTTGTACGGCTCAAAAACAGCCATAGTAAAATCATAGACGTACAAATCTGGGCTAAACCTGGGACGTTTACACGGCCTTCAATTAAATTAATATTAATCAAATAAGTTTGTTACATGATATTGTTTACCTTTATACTCCAACATTCCCATATTTTATTTTTTATAGCTTCTGCTCATGCTCTGATGAGATTTAGAAAATAAAATGAGCTCCAAGAAGAGGTTGACTTGAGGGCTGATGGTTCAAATTCCTCCCACTGATCCTGTGTTCTTAGTTCAAATCCAAACATGCCTCCATTTTGCTCTTTTGGTGATGGGTGATTAGAGAGGAGGAAGAAGGCGCGTAAAGCAGAGACAAACATGATGTTGAGACTCCAGAGCGGCGGTCCAGAGCCAGAGGACAGAACAAAACAAAAAGCTGAGCCGTGAACACTTTTCTCTCTGTGCTTTGAAGTGAACAATTTGCATGTCAGCAGCCTTATCGGCCCGATGAGTCACGGCCTGCAGCTACACAGGCTGCAGTCAGCCGCCACTGATAAAATAAAATAATAAAATGGGAGGAAACGAAGGTGAGAAGGTCTTGTTGAGTGAGTCTACTCTGAATCTAAGGATTACGGGACATCTGACTTGTTTTTTGACGTTTCCATACAGAACATCTTCTGCTTGACCAAAGATGTCTCATGTCTGACCCACTGTGAAAATATTACAATAAAAAAAAACTCCAATGCATTTTAGTCATAAATTACAGCATTAATGATGTAATTATACTTTAATCCTGCATAGGTTCACTTAAACACCGACGTGGATGGGGAGTTGACTCTGGGAATTTACATTTGCGTGAGAAAGAGAATCAAGGACTGACATTTTGAGAAAACAGAGGACTTATGAATAGTTTTGAGAAAAGGAACTCAAGGACTGATGTTCCTGATAAGAAAGGAACTCAAGGATTGACATTTTTGTGATTTAAGGGTTCAGAGACGTACATTTTGGTAAGCAAGACTCAAACCATTGTTTAAGAGCCAGCTAGGCTAGCATGGGAATGACTTAACTGTTGTTTCTCTCTACAGACGGTAACCAAGGACCTGAGAAATCCTCACAGAAAACAGGAACACCTATCAAAACATTCTGTGTCCTTGAGCAGAAGCACCTTGTGTGTATAGAGCCGTTCCATCTAGACCCCAGCCCCGCAGCTCTTTGCTACCTAAAACCGTTCCTACTGAACAGGTTAACGCCACACTTTCTGTCTCCAATGCATCAAATACCAACGATGGACTCATGGCCCAGTCACTGGTTCAATCATGACAACAACTACGATTAAATTAATCAAGATCTTAAAGACAAAACAAGCATTCAAGTATAACTGTTAGTGTTTGTGTTTATTTTAACATGATTAAAACATTGACATGGATATTGTGGTGTGTATTTTTCCTGCCTTAAATGTCAACAAAAAACCTTTAAACCAGCTTTCACTTTCCAAGCGCTCCAGTCAGACGTAGCCTGGACAATAACCACAACCTAAACGAGTACCAGAGGGCATATTGAGGCAATAGCTGCATGTAACAAACTTCCCTTCTTCCTCTAATGATGAACCAGTGTTTGGTCAGGAAGCTGAGAGGATGTTTATGTGTGCTCTGACTCCACATTTCCTCCTGAAACAGTTTTCATGCACTGTGTGCTGCCACCTAGTGAGCCAGCGAGGAACTGCACACCTGGGCCCATCCTAGCTGTGTTTAACCCTCTCAGGCTCAAAATAAGTTTTGATAAAAGGACGAACAACTAAGTCCTTCAGGAGTACTTCTGAGTAGAAAAATGCTCATGAAATACGTGTGTGGAGTAACCAGGTAGGTAGGTTTTAACTGTGGCACATCTGCAACGCCTGCCTCCAGAGGGTTAAAGTGTTTCACTTTCTACCGTCGCATGACTTTGGAACGATTCCTGTGTTCTATGATGCATATGAGCAGCAGTTACTGACCTTTACACAGGTGTGTTTAGTGTTTACCTGCCGCAGGTGTCGACTGACTGGCTGTCGAGGACTCTCCAGGGTCTGAGGCTGCTGGCCTCTCTTAGCAGCTGCTGACTGAAGTCTGAGACCACAGAGAGAAATATGATAATTATTATTTATCACCACTAAACTCTAATCGTACATCAAACAGAAATAACCCAGCCTCCCTGTCCACATTTGTACATGATAATTGTTATGTTTCGTCCAGTTACAGCCATACTTTCCTGGTACAGCTGTTATGTGCTCTGATATGATGAGAAGACAAACTGACCCTGGAGATGCTGACCTGTAGGGGTATCGTGGTGGTGCCTGCAGGCCTCTGCTCCTGAGGTGCTGGTACAGGTTGCTGCTCAGCAACAGTGGGTTCAACACAAACTCCTCGTCCAGCTGAGATAGACAACCCTGATGAAGACAGAAAACAGTCCCCAAAGGTTATCTGAGCCTTTAGGATTATCATCTTATTATTTATAGATTAAACATTGTAGATGTTTCCTAAATCCTTATAAAGAAACAAAAACAGTGTAACTTCAGTGCAGATTGGATTAAGGTGTCACTGAATAGATCTGAATGAAATTCAGAATTCCTTCTTAGTTGATGAGCAGACGTAGCCGAGTTTTTCTAAAACCAAATCATCTAGCGACAACTGAACTGAATAATACTTCATGCAGGGGTTTGTCCTGGCTCAAACTGAGGCAGAGGTGGTATCATCCTGACCACGCAAAGCAATTTTTTATGTTCTTTTTCAGCAGCAGTTTTAGCGCTTTTCGGTGCACCGCTGCTGGTACAGCGCACCTTCAGTGGCGCAACGCTGCAACTGCAGTTAAAAAACACCCATATACCTGGGGGCAGAGTGAAATCAGGCTGGGGCGGCACAAAAATAGCTGGAGGTGGCCACCATGCAAATTTGAACACAGGAAAAAGCCTGCTTTATGATTCTGGGGAGAATGTGCCTGGTAGTGTGTGGAGGGTGTGTAGATCCACGAGTGTAAAAATGCATCACTAACTTTTACTGGTTCTACTGCAGGAGTGGTTAGAAACAGTACTGGTCTCCACCCATTCTTGCACTCACTTACCATCTTTAAACATATAATATTCATACAGACCTGTACAGTGTGCAGGGCGCTGGGAGCGGGCTCCTGGTTTGAGACGAGCAGAGAGCAGGGCAGCAGCAGCTCTCTGGAGACAACGGGTTTCAGGAGGAGGGAGAGTGATGAGGAGGACTGGAGGATATAGTGAGAATACACTCCTGTAACATACACACACACACACACACACACACACACACACACACACACACACACACACACACACACACACACACAGTAAATGAGTTCAGACGCAAGGACAAACTACCAGCATGTGCTGCTCTGACACAGACCTGAGCCTGCAGCTGCGGACCTATCAGACTCCACCTGCAGCAGCAGGAATAAGTCTCGGCTCTGGAACAGAGAGAGACAGAATCAACAGATGTCTCCTGCTCTGTGAGCTCGGCATCGCTACGTGCTGATTCAGTCTGGCAGTCACACACACATGCCTACAAATAAACTTTAAAGTAAATTAGAAATTAGTTAATTACATTTGTTTTTATTGATTTATTTTCTAAGATAAACTGGTATCGGCCCTAAAACCAGTCTATGTAAAAACTGAAGTATGCTTTAAAACTCCATTCCAAATCTCCTGCTACAGACCAGACAGGGTCTTGTCACGAACAGGTGTAGCTGGAGCTAAATCTGTGGTTCCTAAAAAGCAACGCTGACAGAGGAGTCGTTTACACACCCGGAGTGTGTGGCAGAGAGCATGGAACAAGCTGCTGTTGGTCTCCATCTCATCCCAGTCCAGCCGCCAGCAGGTGGTAGGGCGGATCACCAGGGGAAGACCATACAACACACTCTCACACACTCCATCTGCATGCAGCACCCTTCAAAACACACACTCTCTTGGTTAACCTAACATGGACAAAGGTGGATTAGAACCGCTCCACACATCATAGACATGAGAAACTTGTGACATCATGACCTTTTCCAGCTGAATTTAACCCTCAGACATCACACTTTATATTAATATCCTCCGAGGTCGTTAGAGGACAAGAATGATGACGCCTGAGGGCTAAACGTTTGTCCTGACTAATAGAAACCACGAGGACACAATAACCTGTCACACTCAGGTTGTAACTGGAACAGCAGAAACATGCAAAGTTGATGTAAATGAAGCAGCTCTGCTTCTGGAACAAGAGCTTCTGCTTCTATCTGCGCGTCACTCGCGGAGTCTGGGACGTAGTTTTGGTTTTAGGAGATGACAAAATCCACTTTCCTCTGTTAAACTTCTCAGTGGCAAACAAGATTTATTTATAGACACGATGCAAAACAAAATCAAGCCAAACTAGGTCAAATGTATCGAAGGTTGTTTCCTCCTCATTCAGCTGAAATTTGAATAAATAACTGATCATTTTTAAATGATTTCTGATGTTTTATCCCGAGTTTATTTGTAAAAATGAACAAAAGTCAAATAGTTTCTGTGTTAGCTGCTTCTCTAAAGTGTAGGAAGCTCACTTGTTGACTTATTTCTTATCGTATCTCCAGCCTGAGGGATCTAAAGCAAACACTAACAGGTAAATATGTGGATTATTGACATTAATTTGATCTGAGTTCAAACACAAGATGTATACCATTAGATAAGTATAACTCTTTCACCAGCGGGAGTATCAGGATTAACACCTTCATCAAAAAACCTAACCTATCCAGTATATGTGTATCTACTGCCCTCTGGTGGAGGATCTGCAGCTCTCTCTCTCTCTCTCTCTCTCTCTCTCTCACACACACACACACACACACACACACACACACACACACACACACACACACACACACACACACACACACACACATACACACACACACACACACACACACACATATTAAAATACAGCTGTTGTTACTTCCTTGTTCTAACACAACTGAAACAGCAGTTTTCTGGTTGTTCGAGGCTTTAAACGAGCTTGTTAATACTTTAGGGCCTTTTTCAGCTCTGCTATAATTGTTGGAAGTTTGAAACATCAGAGCAGGACCTGATGCGTGGCTTCTCTGTGCTTCAGCTCAGTAGATTACAACGTCCTGATTCATACTCACTTGACTACTTTCAGTCTCTGTGGAGCTGGACTTTGATTGCCCCTGACAACGGGCAGGAAGTTTTGAATGCTCTCAGTCTTCACTCCCAGGCTGGGGGTCACGGGGACGAGGGCGGGGCTTATAAGACGCTCCTGCATGTCACACTTCAAGCACACTACACAGGTGCCACAAGAGACATAAACAACACATTTTAAGCCTTCATGTATCAACATGTGAACATCCAGAGTCAGCATGTCTCACCTGGAAGTGGACTATCAGAGGAGCTTGGCAGCAGAAGGTGAAGATGCTCAGCATCTCCTCCCTGCTCCTGAAGCCACGCCTTTAACACGGTTTCCATGGCGAACACGTTGTTCTCTACCTGTTGCAGGTCCACCTCTGTCCCCAGCATCAACGAGTCTACAGAAAGAGAGGGTGCAGATTATCTTTGCACCACTAGATGGCAGCAACACACAGGATTTCAGTCATCATAATTGGCTGTTGAGAAGACTGAATCTGCTGTTACTTGTTCTCATCTACAGATAAATGGAGCATTTATCGTTGCTCATTGATTTCCATTCATCATTCCAAGAGAGAGGAACAGGTCGTATCATTTACTGATCATTTATTGTTGCTGACCAGACACAAAGCACACAAACACCCTCTTCCATCTTCCTTTGGCTGCTGTTTAGATGTTAATGACCCATCAGAACAGAGCTAATGGCACTGGTGGGAGAACGGAGGAGCAGGAGGTTAACAGAAGGGAAAATGAAAGGATGAAATTGGGCAATTCTTTCTGTAGACTGAAATATGTGATTGCTCCCTTTCATCTACAGCCCACATGCTGCTACAGTACAGATGCTAGTTTGGATTCTGGGTCAAAGTTTACAAAAATCTTTTATTTTTAGTAATGTGCTCATTTTCCCCTGATGGTCAAACCCCTGCAGGTTAAAGTGAAGCTGAAAGAAGATTTAGAAACGTGGGAAAGATGAATAATAACAGTATTAACACTATTGTAGTGTATCAAAATCCCAAAGTGCCTAAGTAAAGATTATTCTCTTTCATTTATTACGCAGATTTTAAAACTTTTGGCAACTCTTTGTAACACAATGTCAGAATCCAACTACGTAAATACACTCATGGTCACTTTATTAGGTACACCTCTGAAAGCAAGTCACAATCCAAGGCTGTGTCCTAATCCAGGGGCTACATCCTTATGGGTATGCATTTTAAACCCAATTACACCACAGCACACAGTAGTGTGGTATGGTTAGGCGTGTTGTAATGTGGTATGGTATGGTGTGGTGTGTTGTGGTTTGGTGTGGTATAGTATGGTATGGTGTGGTATGGTATGATTTGGTGTTTTATGGTTTTGTGCGGTGCGGTGTAGTGCGGTATGGTTTGGTGTGGTGTGGTATGGTGTGTTATGGTTTGGTGAGGTGTGGTATGGTATGGTGTGGTGTGGTGTGGTATGGCGTGGTGAGGTGTGGTATGGTATGGTGTGGTATGGTGTGGTGTGGTATGGTTTGGTGTGGTATGGTGTGGTGTGTTACCGTGTGGTGTGGTATGGTATGGTGTGTTATGGTTTGGTGCGGTGTGGTGTGGTATGGTATGGTGTGGTATGGTTTGGTGTGGTGTGGTATGGTGTGGTGTGTTATGGTTTGGTGCGGTGTGGTGTGGTATGGTATAGGAGCCATTCATGTTTTGTAGTTTTCCTTTTGTGAATGAGCTGGTATGTGCACGCACTTCTGCACTTCAGGTGATTGGTTGCACCTTGGGTGTGGTTATAAATATGAGCGTGCACCTATTGTTTGGGATTTTGTTTTGTTTGTGCTGGCCTTCATTATGGTGGCGGGGTGAACTTGGGGAGACATTTCTGTTGACCGCTGTCTCATCAATTTACACCTAAAAGATCTGCACTGTCTGTGAGGTATTTTTTTGGCATCTAATCACCATCGAGCTAAGTAAGTGCCTGTTTCATAGAAGAATACGACCTGGACAATAAATGATCAGCTGTGCAGTTGTTCTGCCTGCGCGTTATCAATAAAAAAAACCTTATAGCCTGCCGTGGCGTGTTGAATAAGTTTTCAAACATACGCCACAATATATGGCTTGGTGTGGTGTGGTATGGTGTGGTGTAGTATGGTATGGTTAAAGTCCCATTATTTGTCACACACACCAATGTGTGTGCAAAATTTGTTCTCCGCGCTTGACCCATCGCCTGGGGGAGCGGTGAGCTGCAGACACAGCTGCACTCGGGAACATCTTAATACTGAGTATCAAGCAAGTGGACCCATTTTTCCAAAGTCTTTGGCATGACCCAAGCAGAAATCGAACCCTGATCTCCCAGTCTCAGAGTGGATACTCTACCACTAGGCCACTGAGCTGGTAATGGTGTGGTGTGTTATGGTATGGTGTGATGTGATGTGATGTGGTGCGGTTTGGTGTGATGTGGTATGGTATGGTATGACATGGTATGGCATGGTATAGCATGGTATGGTGTGCAAGGACTCAACCCTGAATTTGGACACAGCTCAGGCATGTTGATGGTGACTTATTTAAGTACAAACTGAGCATCAGAATGGAGAATGAAGGGGATTTCACCAGCCTGGTTAGTGGTACAAGACAAGCTGGTGGGATGTGGTGGAATGGGAAATTCACATCAGGGGGACCATCATGGTACAACAAGGCTAGTGTGTGTAGAATCAGATAACAGAGAAAAGTAGGAAAGACAGAAGAAAAATAAGACAAATCAAGTTTTGAAAAATTAATGGGAGAAGCCAGAGAAGCAAAGGTAACAAAAGGCATATATAGACAAAAGAGGTGGAAAAAGAGAAAAAATGCTCTTTCTTACATGGTAATAATAAAGATAAGAGAAAAATCCATGAGACGAACACAGATGGAGGAAAGTAGGTTAGAGTAAATTGATTGCCGTGCCTCTGATAATGTCTGGGGAGATATAGAAGGAATTTATAAACAGAGAAATCCAGAAGCAGCATGTAGCAGGGGCGTGTGGAGATAGCACGAGATAGTGGAGAGATGGATGGTTGTGCAGGTTGATGGACGGTTGACCACCTCGTCACAAATGCTTGTAATTAGACTATCGAGTCTACTTGTGTTTAGGATGGGAACTAGCGAGAGGAGCTAGAGTAGAAATGGGGTATTTTGCATCTCATTGGATGTGTTAGTGAGTCCCTGATGAGTGAAATCGCAGAGTGAAAAAGCAATGAGGCAGAAGGAGGAAATGTTTATAATCCACCAGCTTTATTTCCATCTGTTGTACAGTGTGTTTAAAACAGAAACACAAGATTTTAGAAAATCAATTATCTTCTTTGTTTATTAGATTCTTCTCCTCCCTGTTCTCTCTGCTCTAACAACCCTTTAAATGATGAGGTAGAGAAAGTGACCTAACCCCCATCTACAAGTCTAATTGTGCTCCAGCATCGCATTAGGATGTCCTCTGTATGTGCACGTATACTCTGTATGTGCACGTGTACCTGTGAAGATGAATCGTGACAAGTTTGGAGAGAATAGCCTGAATGGGTGGCTGTCCAATCTCATTGAGATCATATTTCGGTGTCATCACTGCTATCTGCAGTATTTATTATTAAAGCATAAAGAGAGCAACATCTACTCCAATGAAGATTTTACAGTAGCCGTTTTTTATGTATGGATATCAGTATGGGATTCATGGTGGTGAAGTTGGCAGCACTGTTTCCTCGCAGCAAGAATGTTGCAGGTTGGAGCTCCAGATTTAGCTGCTAGTTAAAAAAAGGTCAAGAAGTATAAAGATGTGGAGCAGACTTTCCTACTAGTGCATTTTTATGTATTTACTTACACTGTTAGACTTTACCTATCCACTTTACAGTAATAAACTGGCAACACTGTTGCCAGCATGATACCGGTATGGTTAACGGTAACTTACCACTTAGTGATGATCCCAGAATTATACCGTATGTTTTATTGCTGTAAAAAAACCCTCTGACTGCATGGCGGTGAGATACTGGCAACGCTGTATACCGTAATGTATTTCACAAGAAAATTACATCAATAACGCAACATTATACCGTGATTATTAAATATGTGTTGTGCTGTATGTTTATGGTATGTTGCCGTAAGCTCGTTTCAAGGTATGCTGCAATACCTTTTCCAGTGATTTACCGTAAACATACACTTTTGCTACTGAAAATAGTCAACGCTGTCAGAGGGTACTGTGTTCTTGTGGGCAGTAATTTACCTTTTTCATGTCATATTTTACTAAGATATGAGTAAACGGTAACATACTGTAATAAAATAAAGGCTCCCAAATATAGTATATAGTAATATACTATAGGAATGACAGCACAGTCTAACAGTGCATGGAAATTACAGTACTACACTGCAAACACTTTTAGAGGTATTTTACTGTTGATTTTACAGTAATATACTAGCAAATGCCAGCAAAGTCTAACAGTATACATATGGACTTTCTCAGCTTGTGTATTTACCACAGGCTGATGTAAATACACTATGGCCGACCAGAGATGTGACTAACATGGTGGCTGAGACCTCCCAGAATAATAGAACAAAAAGTAAAAAATGTCTCTACGTTTTAAATAAAACAAAAAGAGTTGGATAATGCTGACAGCTTAACACCTAGCAGGAGTTTAAGTTAAACACAGCTGCTGTATACACTAGTTCTAATAAATGTTACAGGAATAAAGTACTTTAAAATATTTTGTTATTTAACAGCAGCAAATGTCCCTACACATCTATTAGATTTTATTGGCTCCTGTCCATGACCTAAAAAGCGTTTGCTTTTATCTTTGCCATGTATGGAAAAAGCTAATTTAGCTTCCCTGCAGCCTTCACTGTCTCTGAACAAGTAATGCTTCCTGTTATCAGTGCATTAGGAGGAGCGCTTCATCCTCATGAACGTTGGCCAGTTTACCATTAGCTTGTATGTTTGAAGTAATGACACTAATGTTGTACAAGAGGAGGAAGCAGAGTCCTGTTTTCCCTCTGAGATAAGTGTCTGCTGATAAGGATAATGGTGGGCTGTAATGGTGGGAATCCTTGAGAAAGCTTCTTCAAAACATGTCATAAATAAATTTTGCTCTTTAGAAAACTGTCTATGATTTTATGATTTCATTGCATCCAAAAATATATAATAGTTTGGATTTGGTTATTTGAATTTTAGATTGTTCAAGTCTGCTAATTTAATCTAATTCCGGTATTTACTTGAAAACAAGCCCTCTGGTAAACTATTAAACTAAACATTTTACAAGGAGTATGATCCTGGAACTAGTCCTTTGCCAACTGACCTGAACTTATCATCGGATAAGAATAATACAGTATAAAAAGGAAGTGCTGATGTAATTCTGCTGGTGGAATTCCCCTCTGACATCAACATTTCTTCTATACATACCGACACGAACAGC